ATCAATCGCCACGTATAGACCTGCGGCGAGTGATCAGATGGTCGGTGGGCGGAGATCGCCAGACCCGCCAACTTTGAGGCATGATAGGTCGCCGAGGTCAAATTTTTCATGCGAATTGCGCGTCAGTTCGCACCCTCAGGAGGTCCGTGGGTCCCTCAACTAGGTCAATTACCTTTCTTCGACCTTCATTCTAATCGTGAATTCGTCCTTTAAGGTCCTAGTGACGCGTAGCAATGTAGAAAGGTGGCGCTCCCTTTGCACTTGCGTACCCAGCACTTCTAGCCATGGTAAGGGCTTCTTAGGTGGGTCAGAGCCCGAACTTTGCTTTAGATATTATAAAAACGGTCGTAAGTTGCTAATCTTTTGATTCGGTTCATTCCTCGTTTGCTCTTTATTGTCATAAATAACAATCAAAAAAATTAGTGAGTGAAAGTGATTACAAAACGACACGGATGGCAAAAATATATGTTTTTACTGACACAACTACGGAACAAATGCTTCTAACGTCGACTCCAGCGGAATTCAAATATATAATACCTTTTCATTGTAATGCCCATCTTTTTGGTCAAGAATACTTACTACGATACTTCCTAGATAACACCACTGCATCTAAAATCGCTGAAAGTATTTTGGCAATCTAGTTTTGTATTGTTCAATCAAAATCCAGGTAAATGAGATGAGGCAACGGCACTTGCAAAACCACGCCTGTCCCACTCATCGAGAAGCTGAAATACGCACCGTCGTCAGCATGTTAAGAAGGAAGGAATTTTGCCGCTCATTTAGTCGTGGAATGTGCTTCCGAATGTAAATGTGTGATTCATCAGGAGAAGCTTCATAGAAATGGTATTTACACGGACAGTTGCACTACATGAAAGTTTCTTGAGTCCTTTCCTCACCTCTCCAGCCGCCTGTCATCTATCCAATCACTATAATTCCAGAGACTTTCGAGTAATTGACAAGTAGTGGTTCTGAAGTGAGTGATATGGTTAAGAGTAGATGTGTGCCAACCTTAAAAATCTAAAAATAAACGAGGTTAGATAACACAAATGGAGCAATTGAATCTGAACAGAGCGTGCTTTTCTCGAGAGAAGTACTCAAAAAACATTTCTGAGCAAATTATTGTCGAAGGATGATATTCGAAAATTGTATCTATGGAAAATCCCAAATTGTCATTAGCTTACCGAAAGTGACCAGTCCGAAGTGGATACCATGCCCAATGTCAAGCTGTTGAATGATCGATGTTGCGATCAGTTTTTCCTTAAATCAGTAATTTCAAAGAATCTTAAAGTAAGGGAGTTACCTGTTCAAATATGTATGATGTGTTAAGTGCTAGGTGAGTCGACAGTGAACAAAAAAACAAGGAAAATTGTGTGTGAAGCTCAAACTAGAAACCCCCCTTCCTTACCATTAGCTGCACACAAGCCAGGATTGGGAGAAGAACGTGTCTGAACGTGTTTTCAGCAGCTGCTGGCTCTGTGCCAAAAATCAGCATGGCTAATAAACCCAGCACGGAAACTACTTGCTGTTTGTTCCCTTGTTATTTTCACTTTCTCGCCTTTTTTTGTTTGTTTCTCATCTGATCTTGCTCAATAGAACGTACAACATTGCTCGCAATATAGGCCTAAATGTTGATTTTCGCA